CTCTCTTCTCCTCATCTTACTCCATTTAATTAGAAGCCCAGTCCTACAGATTCTATCACGTTATCATAGGGGCTGCTGAAACCCGGTGTTTCTCTAACTACAAATGTCATCATGTTGTTCTAAGTTGTCATTTACTTTTGATCTATATCAGTATTTTCCAAATTTTTCCATGAAAGTACCTCTAACAGCAGATAAAATGTAGACGGTGAGGAGAAGGCTACCCTTAGGGAATGTAGCTCTAGGCGACTTTTTTCTACCCATTGCAGAGAAATTTCTTGGTAGACTCCTGTAATTACTAAAAAGTTATGCAGACTTTTCAACCTCCTCCATCTATTTTTTTTGTGTTAACATTAAAGAAATACTTTTAGTGACTTATCAGTGAGCCAAAATGATGCTTTGGGGACATTTTCTATGTTTATCAGGGGCTTCATATAGGGTATCTGTGCCTTGGGTTGAGAAGGACACTGTAGACCCCACCTGGTCTCTCTACCCTCAGTCTCTCTCTCAGACATCTATGTCATATGTCTGAGAGAGGGACTATTTGACTTCACCATTATCAACAAAACACTCTTTTAGTTTCCAATAGTGCTGCACTGCTACCAAATTCCATTTTAACTGCTTTTTTTTGGTTTCCAAGCCCTCCAAAAATGATCATTGAAATCTTATTTCCAATATTGTTACCTTCTAACAAACTGAAATACTTTGGTTAGTATGTTGTCAATATTGAATTGAATCTGGTTGTTGGCAAATGGTTTACTTCTACAGTCATCCTGCACAATGTTTCTCAAAGTATGTTCCTTAGACCAGAAGCATCAGCATTACCTGGGAACTTGTTAGAAATGCAGATTTTCTGTCCTATTCTATACCAGACCTGCTGAATCAGAAACTCTGAGTTTGAGGCTGAGCAATCTGGCTTCCAGGTCATTTTGATGCATCCAAAGTTTGAGGGCTACCGCTCTAGCATTCAGTTTTCAGATCTGAAACAGAGTAAGATATGAATTAAAAAGAAAAAAAAAAAAGACTTTAATGACTGTATACTATTATTTAAGGGTAAGAGTTTCATTTAAAAAAATGTTAATATTCACTAAGGTTCTTTTACTAGAATTCTCCTACTAAATATATTTGTCATGAGACTTCTTTATTTAGAAAATGTTCTAAAAGAAAGGATTAAACAATTTTTAAGTCATTTGTCTCCTCCTAGTGGCAAGCTTTTAAATATTGAGCACAACATGCCATTTATATTTCTCAGAAATCATATTTCTGAATTTTTTCATAATATTCTTATTAACTACAATTAAAATAAATTGCCTCTCCCCACCAAATTAGATTTTTCTTGATTAGTTCCAACTGTGCCTGCAGAAAACCATGTAATTTGTCTCTTACATGGCTTTTTAAAATCAGACTTATAAATTTTCCCTTCTTTTGTTATGCATAATATTTAAGCAGAACTTCACTACTTAGAACACTCTGAAATAAGTTTTCTTCCTTTATAGAATTGCAACAACACCCTTTACTTCTCTCACTTCCTTTCTTGCAATGCCCCAGGAACCACACAGGATCTCCAGGGTACTGTAATAGCCACTGCCACCAAATTTCTTTTCAATGGGCAAGCTAGTGACACTTGACCCTTACTAACTTCTCTCCCTCAGACATGGGTCCTTAAACAATCTTTTTGAATCCAGGACCAAATTATATTTCTGCTATGCAGCTGCCATGGTATCTGGTCCTAATCTGGCCTTCAAAGATTTTTCCGTAATCACCCAAGCAATTTTCTCTTCTCTGTTCAGTTTAAAACTAGCTGCTTCTATTGTTGTTGTTGTTTTAAATAACAATTTTACTAAGACATAATTCACATATCGTAAAATTCACTCTTAAAATATACAATTCAGTGTTTTTTAGTATATTCAGACCTGTGCAACCATCACCACTAATTCCTGAACATTTTTATCACCCCCAAAAGAAACTCTACATCCAGTAGCAGTCAGTCCTTCATCCTCCTTCTCCCCAGGCTTTGGTTAACTCCTAATCTACTTTCTCTATATATAGGCTTGCCTATTCTGGACATCTCATATAAATAGAATCTTTCAATGTGTGGCCTTTTGTGTCTGTCTTCTTGGAGGAATGTTTTCAAGTTCATTCATGCTATAGCTTGTATCTATACTTTATTCCTTTTTATTGCTGAATAAGATTCCATTACATAGATATACCACATTTTGTTTATTTGCTTCTATTTTTAAGTGGAGATAATGAAGATAACATAGTCTTTTTAAACTGGCACTTGGGCCTAATTTTTTTTTTAGGATCGAGAATAAAAGGTATTAAGAATGAATTCTGATTTTAGGCCATGGAAATCCTCCCAATCACCAAAAGGCTTCTTTTTCTCTCTCTTTGAAAGCCGATACTGATGGATGGGTTATTTTGTCCAATAAGTTCCTATTTTCTGAGAGCAGTTTCAACGTTTAAGCTAATTTTCAAAGGGCATGTGCTCTAGGCCATGGAGCCAATACTATAATGTCTTCTTCCCTCCCAAGAGAATGGTTTTCTAGAAGTATGAGGTGTTTATTTGAAAGGGACACCTTGAGTTATTACAATGACCTTCCAAATACCCTTCTTCCCTCCCAAGAGGTCTATGTGCTATGAGATAATATTAAAATTACTTTACAGATTTTTGTATACACACATTTTTGTATATACATAGAATATCTCTGAAAGGATACATAAGACATGTAAAAAATGGTTGCCTATAAAAAGAGAAACAAGAGGACAGGAATAGAAGGCTTATTTTTTACACTATATCCTTTTGTAAGTCATTCAAAATAAATAAAAATAATAAATTCATAAATAGAAAAAAATAATAATATCAACTAGAAGTATGAGGTGTTTATTTGAAAAGGACACCTTGAGTTATTACAATGACCTTCCAAATACATATCTTTTCATTCCCCAAGCCTTTGTATCATCTGTTTCCTCAGCTTGGATCATTCTTTTCCTCTTTATCCTCCCTTTGCTCCAATAAAATCTGACATTTTATGTAATTTTTTCATTTTCAAAGCACTTTTAGATACATGATCTAATATTTGAATTAAAAATATAGTATGAATAAATATTTTTACCCTCAATTAATAAGAACACTGAGTTGAGAAAGAGTAGCAGCTTGACCCAGATCACAGCTATTATGATTGTCAACATAAAGAAACATCCAAAGTTTATTTTGACTTTATTTGAGCCAAACTGATAACAGTTGCCAGGAAGCAAAATTTCAACAGATTGACAAAATGCTATGGAAAATGGCAGTTTTGTACCCTACTTTATATGTTAAAATCAGAGGAGATGTAAGGAGGGTTACATGAAATCCATTGGTGATAGATTAAGGGGTGAGAGAAAGCAAGGTGGGGTGTGTGTGGGGGGGTCCCTGGGATTGGATAAAAAGTAAAACAGACACATACTTCTTTTACATTCATGGGTACAGGGTAGTTAATAACATTTACAGCACATAGCAATGGTATTCAGGGAACAACAAGATAATGAGGGGTTCTGTGCTCTAGTGTGGTGAGTGTACCCTGAGAGATCGGGGAAAAAGGGGATCACTCTGACATTCCAAGGGTATGTTATCTTAGATGCAAAAAGACAATAGCCAGGCTTACTTAAGGTAAAGATTGACCTTTGTCAAGGAAGCTATAGGCCTAGGATGTGACTACCCATCATGACACCCCACCCTTTTAGTTAGGAATCTTTAGGTTTGGATCAGCCTATGTGGGTACTTTAGGTCTCTGAGTTTTTAAGGCCCACCATGCTGGCCTTCCCTCACTTCCTCATGTTTAGTATGTGGCCCCTTTTCTGTCCACATGATTCAGCCCTGGAATTCAAATCTAGGACTTCTAATAGGTCAAGGACTCTACTTTTTTTAAACGAAAATCCTATTCATTTAATGAGACAACTGGGTGAAAATGTAAAGATGTTTACTAAAGTGTTTTGTAATATCAGTACTATGCAATGAATACTATGTATGCACTAACTAAAAATTATGACATAGATCTATATTTATCGTGGAAAACATGGAAGAACACCCATGATACTGTATATTATGAGAAAAGGAAACTAAAAACAGATGTACAATTCGAACATTTTTGTTTAAAAAAGTGTGTATGTAGAAAGAGCCTGGAAAGATATATATGAAAATGTTTATTTTAGAACTCATAATACTCTCAAATTTTGTATATTATTACTAATAAACTAAAGGCACATTAAATACTTCACATGTGCCAAACACTGGGCTAAATCTATCTTATATGTATTATCTCATTTAATCCTCACAACAGCCAACTTGCTTAAGCTCTTGCTGCTAATTATGCAGCAGAACAGGACATTAGACCGCAAAGCTCATGCTCTTTGGAGCTAGATCATCATGTCTCACGTACAAAGATCATTTACTTTATAATCAGAAAAATCTAGGTTACTTTAAGAAAATACTGTCCAAAATTTTACTTCCAGGGGGTCTCCTTGTAATGCCACAACAATTTGTATCTCTTATAGAACCTAGGGCAATTCGATTAGCGTTTAACTGGTTGGGTCCCTTTATCCCTCTTCTAGATCCTAGCCCTAGCAGGCCTGACACCCAAGCTCACTTTTAGCCCTCAGCTTTTTGTGTAGTGGGCGCCAGTTAATCTGAAATGTACCCTTAATATGACTGGGGGAAAACTTGAATAGAGGATTAGTGAGCACATAATATTAAGAATATCTTCCCAAGAAACGTAGGCTGGGGCCAACACAAGGCCTCTCCATTCCCTTTGCACATGGTGGTTTCCTTGCTTGCACTTTCTTTACCGCTTCTCCCTCGCCAGTCTTCTCCTCCCACCAAGGCCAGAGCTTGAGGGATCTCTAGGTCGCAGTACCTATCAGGCCAACGGCAGGGGCTGGCTCCTGTTCTCAGGTAAGTAACAAGGAGTGGGCCTCCACGTGCGCGCGGGGGGCGGCCATCTCGCATCCTGGCAGGAGCCGTTTGAGCAGAAGATCCGGGAGCGAGTGCCCACACTCAAGATGGCGGCCTTGGGAGGGCGTGACTAGCGACTCCGGTGCGGAGAGGAGTAGGGTCATGGCGGCGGCCGAAGCGCGGAGTCCGGGGAACTGGGAAGAGGAGGAAGAGGAGGCAGTAAGTGTTACAGGAGAAAGGAAACCTGCGCAACGGGCGGGGGTGGCCGCGTCGTCTGTGTGTGAGGAAGGAATCGAAGTGCTGCCGGCGGGACGGAGGCCGCACTGGGACTTCGCTCGCTTTTGCCCATGGGCGCGCGGAGCTGGGGCAGGGTGGGGGTGGGGCGGCAGCTGCCCTCAGCCCTAATTGTCACACGCTAGTCGAAATGGGGACGTAGGACTGTCTTAGGTAACGTCGCTTGCTTCCTCTCGTGGAAAGCAGAGCTTGGTTTTCACGGTGGTGGGATCGTTGCAATGGGGATTTGGGGCTTCTCTGTTGACTCTTCTTGCACACTCTCATGCTAGCATGTTAACTCCTCTTTCTTTCAGGAGCAGTTGGTTCTAGTAGAATTGTCAGGAATTATTGATTCAGACTTTCTCTCAAAATGTGAAAATAAATGCAAGATTTTGGTGAGTCTTCTGGAATTGGGAGATTTAGAACAAGTGTGAATGGTGAAATACCTGGCCGCAAAATATATGTAATTTCACGTGACAAAGCAGTAGACTCTAAGCACAGTCGTAGAAGTACAGGAAGAGTGTGGGAACAGATGGGAGAAAATGTCTAACTCTGCTTGAGTATCTGCTGGAGAGAGTTAAAGATTTGGAGGAGGTAGCATTTTGATGTAGAACAATATACTTTGAAAAAATACATTGTTTTAGATAGTGAGGTGGGAGAGATAAACAGTGAAGGGAGAATAATCAATCACATCTGCACAGACAGGTTAAACTGTGGAGGAGAGAGAGAAGATATCTATTCAGACTTCAAAGACCTCATACTGTGCTGTTGACTTGAACTGTGGAAACCTAATTGACCATCTGTTTTATATCACTGTAAAAATCTTTGAGCTACAGTTCACAAAACTTCCTGTTTTTTATCTTAACTTGAAGAGGACATTGACTGAAATAGACCTCACTACTTGGGTATGAATTAACTAGTCTTCAGGTTGTACTTACAGTTACTAGAGCAGTTTTAGCTTATCTTGCGTTTGCTAGGACAAGAAGCTAGCGAGGTTCCCCAGTTTTGGAAATTCATCTCCTTGGTAGCAAGGTTACATGTGGAAGGCTTTTTTTCCCTTTTTTTTTTTAAACTGAAGTATAATTAATATATTACATTATATTTCAGGTATATGACATAATGATTTAGTATTTGTACATATTGCGTGCAACATGATCACCCCAATAAGTCTAGTTAATCTGTCACCACACAGTTATTAATTTTTTTGTGTGATGAGAGCTTTTAAGATTTGTTCTTAGCAATTTTCAAATATACAGTACATGTTAACTATACTCACTGTGTGCTCTACATTACAACCTCAGACTTATTTTATAATTGGAAGTTTGTATCTTTTGACCACCTTCACCCATTTCACCTACCCCTCACCCTCAAGGCTTTTTTCTAGTAATATTTTTTTATGATTTTGTGTTCTGATGTAGGGAATTGACACTGAGAGGCCCATTCTGCAAGTGGACAGCTATGTCTTTGCTGGAGAGTACGAAGGTAGGATGATGTCAGATAGATGACACTTTTTTTTAATATGCTTTTCAGAGAAGGTAGTTCTTATTTCTCAACACGTTGTCTTTAAATTTTTCTGTAGACACTCTTGGAACCTGTGTTATATTTGAAGAAAATATTGATCATGGTAAGTGATTGCTATGCTCTTTTTACTATGAAGTATGTCAAACATACTTATGTACAGTGAATATTAAATATTTCATGTACCCACTGTCTAGCTGTATCAAATCCTACTATTTTTCCAGATAGTTAAAAAACATTCCAGATACATTTGAAGCCCCTCATATACCCCTCTCCAAACTTATTTCCTTCCTTCTGTTTCCAGAGGTAGTCATTCACCTGAATTTGATGTTTTTCTTTCCTATACTGAATTTTATATATGAATACATATACATATATATGTATTCACGAAAAGTAAATTGCATTCTTTGTATATATTCAAATTTGACAAAAATTATACCATATTATATATATCATTTTATAAGCTTTTTTCAACTAGAGAGATATTTTGAGATTTATACATGTTGATATATATATTTTCTCTGTTTCTTAGTATTCTATTTGTAATTATACCATAATTCTCCAGTTAATGGATGTGTTGTTTGCTTCCATTTTTACCAGTAATTATTAATAACTCCTAAAACTTATTGAATGCCTTATGTATGTCAGGCACTATTCTAAATTCTACACGTATTAACTAATTTATTCCTTACTATAAGTCTACAAGGTAGATACTATTACCTTCATCTTCTATTTGAATAAACTGAAGTATAGTGAGGGAAATAACATTCCCAAGGTCTTACACAAAGTAAGAGGCAGAGTCAGGATTGAACTCAGGTGGTCTGCCCCTGTTCTTAATTATGCTTATTAACTCACCACAAAAATGCTGCTATGAATATTTTTTATGTCTCCTTGTGCATGTATGTAAAAATGTCTAAGGTATACACTTAGAAATGGAATTGCTAGTTTGATGAGTGTGTGTGTTAGGTTCAACAATGTGAAATGACCGATTTGGACTGAATATTGACAGTTTCATGTAGTTCCACTTAACGATGTTGCTTTCTAACTTGTAGTATTGGTTACGCTCACAGCAGTAGTGTATAGAAGTTTTTAGTGTGCTTCATGTCTTTAGCTTCGATAGAGCCTCCTCCTCCCTCCTGCCTGTGCTCACAGTTTTCTGTAAAGCTGTAACAGCAGGCAGTGGATTGGCAGCAGTTTTTTTCTCAGCCTTCTTTCATGACTGGGAATGTCTTCAAGTAGTAAAGTAAGTCTGACTTTGGTCCTTCATTACCCTAGGGCTGGAGCCTAGCAAGCGCATAGCTTTTATCTCACTCATAGATTTGTGTCACTGTCCACTGGAAATATTTGTTGTTTTTGAGTCCAGTTGTGCTTTCAGTTGTTATGTATTTTATCTGTCATTTCTCTGTGCTTGGAGCAGAAGAGATGAGTTAAATGTTGACTTACTCCACTATCTTGACAGCTAGTAGTTTGGTCTAACACCTCAAATTGGAACTATTATGGCTTACCATGATTATTTTTTTTTGCATTATGTTTTATTATATTGTATCAAGCATTATAATAATTGAGTTCATTTTATGTTCTAGTGGATGCAGAAGGCAATAATAAAACAGTGCTAAAATATAAATGCCATACAATGAAGAAGCTCAGCATGACAAGAACTCTTCTGACAGAAAAGAAGGAAGGAGAAGAAAACATAGGTTAGCTCACTTAGTTCTCTGAAAATAGTAATTTAATATTGGCTTTGACATTTACACATTGCTGCCAGGACAATTTTTGTACTTTGTAGTAATAACTATATGTAATACATTAATTATATTATTGAAGGTACTTCATGAAAAGTACCAAATATAGATTTAAAATTCATTTGGGGGAAAAAAAAAGTCTATGGCCATGCTACCTTGAAAACTCCCGATCCTGTCTGATCTCAGAAGCTAAGCAGGGTCGGGCCTGGTTACTACTCGGCTGGGAGACCACCTAGGAAGACCAGGTGCTATAGGCATAAAAAAAATAAAATAAAAAATAAAATTCAGTTGAACTCAAACATAGCAGAGAGCCCTGGGGACATATAAGAAATCTTTATCTGCTTTGCATTAAAAACAATTGTGAGGGGTTTTTTAAGAAACTTGACATGATTTTCAACCCCTAGGGAAGTCAGCAGTCTTGTTTTTGTTATTATTTTTAATTCTTTGTAAGTCGAGAAGATATGATGATAGCAGTGTTCTGGATTCCCAAGATGTAATCCCAGAAGATCTGGAAACCTTCCCCAAGAAGCTCACAGCTGGAAGAAGCTGGCCTTTAAGTGAGGGAGGGACTGACTCTAGGACCACAGTTGTTAGTCTTGAGTCTAGTTCTTAATTAGCATTCATTTAGCCTTCTCTAGTTGTTGATTGTTCCAGACTGCACCCATACCAGGCGCATATTTGTGGAAATGAACAAATAATCACTTGATGGTTTAAAAGCTCATTGCTCAAAGTCATGTTCGAAATTCTTGTCAATAAGACTCTAGTGATGAATGTTCATGGTTTGATAGATTTATTGTCCTTTAAGGAAAAACCATTTGGAAGGTACCTTAATCATGTAGAAATTAATTACATCCACTATACATAACTACATAACATCTTTGTTCTTATCATGTATATCCCAAAACTCCCTCTTTTTAGGCAGTCTGTGAAAATAACAGGAAGAAAGAGGTACTAGAAGTTCTAAGATAAACTCGAAAGGCAGGTATCAGCTATCATTTGGATACTCTGATCAATGGAAGTTACAGAATTTCCTTTCCTATAGTCTTTAATAATCTGATAGATCTTTGGGAACATTCGGGAGTTTTTGTTAATCAAATAAATTAGTAACCAGTTATTCAAGCCTGTATTAATTATCTATTACTGCATAAAAAATTACCCCTAAAGTTAATGACTTGAAACAACAGCAAAAACACTGTCTTCTTTCACAGTTTCTGTGAATCCACAATTTGGGAGCAACTTAACTAGATGGTTCTGGCTTGAGATCTCTAATGAGGTTGTAGTCAATGTTAGTATATGCTGCTGAAGCGAGCACAGAGGTTGCAGTCAGTATGTTGCTGGGCTGCAGTCATCTGAAGACATGAGAAAGGCTGGAAGAACTAATTGTAAGATGGCTCACTCACATGGCTAGCTAGTTTGTTTTGGCTGTTAGCAGGAGGTCTCAGTTCCTTGACTCCCCATAGTACTGTGTGAGTGCCCTCCTGACATAGCAGCTGGCTTCTCCCACATCAAATGATCCATGAGAACAAAGTAGAAGCCATGATGTCTTTTATGAACTGGCCTTAGAAGTCATTTCTGCAGTATCCTATTCAATATGAGAGGCGACTACACAGGGGCTTGAATACCAGGAAGGTGAGGATCATTGGGGACCATTTGGAAGCTGGCTGCCAAGCAGGGCAATATGCTAGAGGCAAAACAGAATAGATAGGAGATGTGGCCCTTACCTTCTAGGAACTTGCAGTCTAAATTAAATCACATTGAAACAAATGGATGAATTTAACAACACTCATTTCATTCAACTTATTTTAAGTATGTGTTGTGTGGCAAGTATTATGCTAAGTAAGAGTAGAGGATAGCTTCAAGATTTTGAACCTGGATGACTAGGAGAATGGTGCTATCGTAGGAAAAAAGTATGAAAGAAAAATAGAAACTTAACTGGAGAGAGAACTAACCAATTTTTGATGGCGTTCCAAAAGAATAACATGAGAAGACATGGGATCATTGATTAGGAAGTTTTAGCAAATAGCTGTATAGAAGAATTAGTTTATGGTGGGGAATAGGAGCAGCTGGATGTGTGAACAGGGTGGCATGATAGGTGGAGGTGTTTTAATATCTAATGGAGACTGAACAGGCTGGGCTTGCTATAGAAATTAGTGAAGATCCATTGAAAATGTTTGGCTGAAAGGGTAGTAAGTATAAAAGAAAAAAAACACGAGTAGTATTGGAGCAGTTCTTGATTATTGGGGTTCATTGAGGTGTTAGGGCTTTGACTATAAGTATGGAATGGAACAAACATTTTTCTCAAGTTTTTTTTTTTAAGAGGTGTGTTATTGGATATTTCAGTTCAAAATGACATGTAAGTGTTGATTTAAGATGCTAGATTAGTATCATCCATGGTATGAAAACTAAGTGGGTAAGGAGAAAATTGTAGAAAAGTGACAAAGTTTTCTTTAAGGCATGAGATGGCAGCGAGAGCTCAAATTATCTCAAAATGAGTTGGGAATTGAACTGTGGAAAAAAGGCTTGGAATAATACTGAAGTAGATTACTTTTAGTGATTTTGAGTTTTATTTTGACATAGTCATAGAATGATAATTTAAAGAAAAAATTTAAAATTTAAAGAAAAATATACTTAAGTAAAATTCCTTTTTCATTGTTTCTTGGTTTGTCTCCCCACCCCTTCACCCCAACCCTCTGCCCATTAGGTGGTGTGGAATGGCTGCAAATCAAGGATAATGATTTCTCTTATAGACCCAATATGATTTGTAGCTTCCTACATGAAAATGAAGATGAAGAAATTGTAGCTCCAGCCCCAGATAAGCCTTTGGAGTTGGAAGAGCAAGAGATTCAAATGAAAGATAATTCTAACCTGAGTTATGAACAGGAGAAACCACTGCATTTGGAAATAGAAGATTCTGGTCCTCTTATTGATATTCCTTCTTCTGAAACAGAATGTTCTGTTTTTATGGAAACTCAAGATGCTGCCTTTGAAACAACTCCTAGATGAAATGTTTTTTGTAATGATTAGTCATGAACTTTTAAGAGCTTTTATATAAAATAATTGACTTTTTAGCTTTCAGTTCGCTATTTTATTATTTTCGTTGGCTATACACATATTTCCAATTATAGCTACAACTTAATATGCCAGAATCATGAAGGACCAGATATAAATTAAATTTTAAAAAATATGGTTTAAATGACTATAGGAACCTTTCTCTGATGAGTTTTTTAAATTGGAGGTTTTACTAAGGTAAGTGTATAAGTTTTCTATTGCAGCCATCAAAAATTACCACAAACTTAGTGGCTCAAAACAACAAAATATATTTTCTTGCAGTTTTATAAGTCAGCAGTCTGACATGGGTCTCACCTGGGCTAAAATCAGATGTTGGTAGGACTTCATTCTTTTCTGAAGGGGGCTGGTGGATAGAGATGACATTTTCTTGTTCATTCAGTTGTTGGCAGAATTCAGTTCCTTGCAATTGAAGAGTCAAGGTCCTTTTTCATTGCTGTCAGCTAAGGGCCATTCCCAGCTTCTAGAGGCCACCTGTATTCCTTGGCTCATGGTTCCCTTCTCCACAAAGCCAGAAGTGGTGGGTCAGGTTCCTCTCTCACATAAAATCTATTATGCTTCTTCCATTATCCTATTTCTGACTAACCTTTCTTGCCTTCCATCTTTAAAGGTTCATTCGAATGCATTGGGCCCACTTCACTATTTTAAGGTCTATAACAATTCTATCTTCAAAGTCCTTTTTGCTATGAAACTTAAACAGGTGTAAAACAGGAGTAGGGCATGAGGATCTTTGGGTGTGGGGCATTATCCAGTCAACCACAGTAAATATTATATGTCTAGGAACAGAAAAATACTTCAGGATAAAGGTAATGTTCCTGATATTCCAGCTATAAATCCATTTCTTTCCCACCTGAGAAAGATTGGAATTCAGCTGTGTGTAGCAGTCATTCTATTATGATAACCTAGATCTGCTCTAATTTGTATGTTTTTATGTAAATTATTCATAAACATACCTCGTTACAGGTTGAACTGTATAAAATTGCCAATATTTGATTGTTTATAGAAAAACAGGTAATTTCATATGGTTTAACCTGGTACTAAGTTAAAACACTTCATATTAATTATATCTCGTATAATATATAACTATGTTCTGACATTAAATAATGTTCTAGGATGAGTTTTTTTTCTTCAGTAAGTTTTGTACTTTACAAAATAACAATTTACTTTGATTAAAAATATTTCCAAATCATAAGCATGCATATCTTCCCAATTTTTATATGACTTTTTAGTCTTAGCTTTTGTTTAATAAAAAGCTTATTTTTCCCACCATATGTATGTATAGGAAAGACTGCTAATTACCTGACTCAGTATCTGTTCTTCCTTTTTTTTTTCTTTGCAATAGAACCTCCGAATTTATTCAAGTTATCAATGTGCCCTGCTTTCCTTGCATATATACATGGCGATGTGACTAATTTCTGGGTGGCAACATGGAATTAGAAGTGTCGAGTGATGGATGATTCTGGGAAGTTACCTTAAATTTTAAGGTGTAAAAGGAAATGGGCCAGCTCATCTTCTCTTCCTGTTGGAACAAGAATGTGGTGGCTAGAGCTCTAGCAGGCTTCTTGGGTTATAAAGTAACCTAGGAAATAGAAGCCATGAGTGGCAGAGAAACAATATAGAAGATTGAGTCCTGATTTTATGATGCTGTCTTGGACTGCTATGAGTAGAGTTAATAAAACCCTTTCTCTCTCCCTGGTAAAATGACCTCAAGTTTACCTTTCAGTACTGTTCTCTGAAAATCTATTAGACAAGGTAATAATAGTACATCAGCTGTGATGCCAGGCAATATTGTTTATGATTAAAAATTATTTACTGGTAAACTATTTCTGGACCAGGAAGACTGACAAGAACTATACGTACCATTGGAAAATATGGGCTTTGGGCTCTCTTAAGTGCTATGTTTCTTACTACAAAGATCCCTGGAAGCTACACTCTGGCCGTTTCAAGAGATACTGATTCTTAGGGAGCCTAAAGCTTCTAAGCTAGTGTGGCTTCTGCACCCACCCAAATGATCTTGTTCCCTTACACCTGATCTGACACTGGGCCACTGGAATAAAGACAAGCCTCATGCTGCTGTGCCATTTCTCATAAAGTGAGTCTAGTGCCAGACTGGGTGCAACAAACTTATTTGGTCTTGTGAATATAAATGTCATTCTAAACCTGTGACTACTGCTACTGTTCATTGCAACTACCCACCTTTGGCCTTTACCTGAGAGAGAAATAACTTGCCTTGTTTAAGTCACTCTAATAGCCACACTTAATCCTAATGATACATTATGCATTTCAGCAAACTTGACAATTTTAGAAAAGTATCAAGAAATTGAGTGGAAGATTCTTGAGATTTGTAATCTTGAAAAATAAACTGACCTAGACTATAAGGTAAGTTATACCTTAAATTGAAGAGGAAAATAAAGTCATAAATTATGAAGAGAACACGATGTGTTTTAACTCCTTACCTGTTAAATGTTTGGAATTTGGTAAAATAAAATCTTATTTTTTAACTATAAAATATTTTGTAAAACTAGAATTTTTCCACCATAGATCTGCCTTACTAACTAGGATTACTTATAAGCTAATCTTGGAACCAATCTCAATGTAGCACTTCTGACACTAAATGCAATGGGTGGCTTTTGCTTACAAATAATGACATTCTGCTCATAAGGATCATATATTTAAGGTGCCTCAAGAAGAATAATTCCTTAAGGCCATTATAGAAATGTTTGAAAATCCTATTTATTCATTACATAATACATAGCTGATAATAACAAATTTATTGACAGGCCAGTTTAGTGAAACGATATGTGCCTTTCTATTCATGAAGCAGCAGTTTGTAATTTTTTAGAATCCACCATTTTCGTTTTCTTTTGTTCCAGCAGCTTATGAGAAACTGAACAAGCTTCTTAATATGTCAGGCTTGCATAAAGTAATCTTCCAGAAATGTTTTCATTGATTCTGGAAATGGATTTGCTATCTGTCTTTTATGACTTACACCATTATTTCCTTGCGGAATAGGAAAATCCTGTTTATAAAATTGTCTAGAAGTACTCAACGTTATTCAATACAGAGTGAATATACCTTTTTAGTGATGATTTGTAGTTTCTAGGTACTTGTATTTTGTGTTTTTTTAAATTTTTTCTAAAATTTGTATATATTTTGTAAAGGCAGGGTTACTGGTATTTTGTTTCTGGGTTTAATGTGTTCATACTTGAATATCATTAATAAGAATGTCAAGGTAGCAGAGGTCCTAGTTTTCTCATCCAAAAAGATTTCTTTCACTCTCATGTCTTAACAAACTCTTATTTCCTACTTGTGTTCCATGCTCCCACTTTGTGATTGTATTAGTGTCCTACTGCTGCTGTAACAAATTTCCACAAACTTAGTGACTTAACACTCACATTGCTAATGGAAATGTTAAACGGTGCAGGCAAAAGATAGTTTGACAGTTCCTCAGAATGTTAAGCATAGAGTTACCATATGATCCAGCAATTCTGTTCTTAGAGAATTGAGAAGTCTACACAAAAACTTGTACCCGAATGTTCAAAGCTGCATAATTTATAATAGTCAAAAAGTAGAAATGTCCCTAAGTTTTTAAATGGATAAACAAATATGATAGAATGGAATGTTATTTACCTAAAAAAGGAAATGAATTTCTGGTACATTTCTACAACATGTCTAAACCTTAAACATGAACATGTGATCATAGAAAATGAAACAAGCCAGACACAAAAGGCCTCATATTTTATGGATTCATTTATATATTCAGAATAGGCAAATCCATGGAGATTAATGGTTGCCAGAGGTATGGCGGGTGCAGGAATGGAGAATGACAGCTACTGGTCTGGAAAGGGTTTCTTTTGGGGGAGATAAAATATTCTGAGATAGTTGTGATGCTTGCACATCCCTGCAAATATACTAAAAACCACTTAACAGGGACAAATTTAATGATGTGTTAAGTATATGGTGATTTAAAAATTGGCGATATAAGGCACAGCAGTGTGATTTTCTGCACACCTTCTTATGTGCTAGGCATTGTGGTAGTTATAAACTGATTTCAGTTGTCAATAGTGTACATTTCACATTGACATTTTTAGAGACTACACGAGTAGACCTACAACCTTTCTAGCATCCTGGGGATTCCCAGACTAACACCTGGTCCCTGAATACCTGATTCAGGTTATACACACAGGTGGGTACATGAAGCTGCTAAAGGGGATGTTAGAGTGGTAATTTCCGGGACAGCCTCAGCAAAAACCCATAACCAAGGGAAAAGAACAAGATTCTACCCAAAATGGCCGCGACCGCCCCTGGGCGTCCTCGGAGAGGCGGTCCCAGGAAGTGACGTCACGTTCGAGTTCCGGTTCCGCCTGTTCGGGAGTACAATCCTGTCTCGCGGTAACCGCGTGGTGCACGTGTGTTCACTAAGTTCCGGTTGCAGTAGCGATGGACGCTTTGGATCGGGTTATGTAAGTTCGTTGGCTTCCTACCCGGGGGAACGTTAGGAGAGGGGCTTCTATGGAGGGATGGAGTGATGTAGCCTCTGTCTCGCTCCTGGTTACCACTCTCCTTTCTCACACCCTTTGCCGGTCGGACCCGTGTAGGGTCCAATCAATCCACTAGCTGGGTTTCCCTGGGTTGGTGCCGCCTGCGAGGAGACCGCCAGCTGGGAATCCCACAGTGGTGGCGGCGGGGTGGAGGTGGCACAGAGGTATTGGCCGCTTTTTGTCTTAGCCAATTAGAAACGTCCTGGTTTCCGAAGAAGTGTGAGGGAGGTGGGAGAGTGGGGGTTTAGGAGCACAGGCCTCGGAGTCTGATCTAGGTGACAATTCGGAGGCGTCCACTTAAAGTTTTGTGACATTGGACCATTTAATCTCCGTAAGTCTCACTTTACTCTGTAAAATAACACTCATAATTGTACCTCATAGAACTGTGAGAATTATTTGTGAGAATGTATGTAAAGCCTTGGTACGCACGTTAGCTTTTTCTTTTCCTCCCAGCCTTGTACACTTCGCGTAATCCTTGAGCGATGTCTGTTGTAAATTCGTTCGAAAAATATTTGTTAATCTCGTAAATGTTCCTGAAGTTATTTGCTGTGGTTTTCTTACGATTTACCTGGGTTAACAGTAAACAACAAAACCTTTTAGTCATTAATTCAGAGGTTTTTGCACATTTGCTATATATTCTTCTGGATGTGGGAAGCAGAGATGACAGTTCTAGAGTCTAATTGGGGGACAAATAGCTAATAAAACATATAAGGTGTTATTTGCATTCGTTGCTGATTAGTGAGAAGTAACAAACCACATGGGAGTATAGAGCATATAGCATTTACATTGCTGTGTAGATAAACTAAATATCTCTTGATTTGATTTAATAATGTCTGTATCAGCCAGTAAATGATTAGAAGCTTTATATGTGCTTGACATTTTATCTGGTGAAATTTTAAATATAAATGGTAAACTAAAGTGTGTGTATATTTTGTTTTGTTTTGTTTTTTCCATCCCAGTTTCCATAGGACTGGAAGAAGGAGAGGGAGGGTCATAGTTATTTAAGAGAGAAGGAATTCTTTCAGTAGATGGCAGAGAACTTGCAAAAGCACGATGCTCACTAATAATGGAAGCAGAGGTGAAGCCCTTTTTCTGAACAGAAATGTAATAAAACATTCTACTCCTGCTGTCACATCATAAAATCAGAATAGTGGATTTGTTTTCCCTTCATATTTTGCAGGGCGATTGGTCTAAATGAGTTTTTAAATCTAGCTCATTGAAGATTTGTATGATCTTGGGCAAACTAACTCTGGCCTCAGTTGCCTCATCTATAAAATGAAGATAATAATTGTACTTGTCTCATAGGTCATGGTGAAGATTAAACCTTAATGGAGTGACTCTGTAAAAGTGCCAATCGTTATAATTCCCCTTTGGTGGCAGTAATGTTTGACTTTCTCAGCAGTGATGTTGGAGTGTGATAGTGTATACTTCCGGGCAGGCATTGTGATCTTAAACCTGGAGGAAGGATAAGCAATAATTAGCCTCCCTATGTTTAGAGTTTGATCAGCAGTTATTGTGCAGTTCTTTGTGTTGGATTATGGGTTACAATTTGACTACTTTAACATTGAAGAAAACAATAATGGAGTAAAAATAGCAACAGTATTCACTTGAGCCCTTTTTTTGTTTAATAAAAAAGGATTTAGAAAGAAGCAGTAATAAAAGAATGCTGGGAATATTAAAATGCAAACTTTTTTAGAAAACCAGAAGCTAATAAAATTAACGCTTCCCCCCCCAGTTATCTATAGCTCCTTTATTTTATTTATTATTAGCTTAAGGTATATAGCACAATAGTTAGGCATTTATATAATTAATGAAGTGATTCCCCTGATTACTCTAGTGCCCATCTCGCACTACATAGCCATTACAGTGTTGTTGACTACATTCCCTATAATCAGCATAGTACCCTCTAGGTCCATCCAGGTGGTTGCAAATGGTAAAGTTTCATTTTTTTAATGGCTGAGTAATACTCCATTATATGTATGTAGTGTAATTTCTTTACCCAATTGTCTGTTGATGGGCTCTTTGGTTGCTTCTGTATCTTGGCTCTTGTAAATAGTGCTGCAGTGAACAAGGGGTGCATAAATCTTTACAAATTAGAATTAACATTTATAGTAATAATTGAATATCTTTTGCTAATTATCTCCCTAAAAAGTGAGATTTTGTTTAATGGTGGAATCCTAACTGATAAATGCTATATAATATTTCTGTTGATTTTTAAGATTTTGCACATTACTCAAGGTATGGTTTTATAATATGAGGAAAATATTTTAAATTGTTATAAATTGTGATTTTTTTATGAACAGAAAGCCCAAAACGAAAAGGGCCAAGAGATTCCTTGAGAAGAGAGAACCAAAACTCAGTGAAAATATTAAAAATGCCATGCTTATTAAAGGGGGAAATGCAAATTCAACAGTGACAGAAGTACTTAGAGATGTGGTATGTATATATACTTATTTTTAAAAAGGTATTGAAATCATTTTAAGGAAATTTTCAGCATACAAGTTTGGGCTTCTGGACAAACATATACATAGATAAGTTTTCTTTGCCTTAGGAACTGCTAGCCTTAGAGAAAAGTAAAGTTGGAGATTATTTGCCTTGTCAAGGCACTGATTATTGGTTTTCCTTAAAGCAGTTGGTTTCCTTAGTAAATTTCAACTGGTTCCAATTACTAGAATTTGGTTTACTCACATTTAAGGAACATATCTAATTTGTAAAGTGAAATAGCGGTATATTACTATATACTTATTCCTTCACTGACACCAGTTACTGTCTTAGGTGCTGGGGATTAATAGATGAAACATATTCTCTCTCTTCAGTGAGCTTAGTGAGGGAGAGAGACAAGTGAAAAACTATCGCATTGTAAACAAAGTGCTGTGCTAGAGGCATGCACAGGATGGGATGGGAGTCAGAATTGGAGCAAGACTGGAGAGAAGAGGAGAAGAGTTTTCAAGGCTGAGGAAGAAGCTTGTTCAGAGGAAACAGTGAAGGAGCATGATGCATTTGGGGAACTGCAAATAATTAGGGATGGCTAAAGGAGAGTGGGCTAGATGAAGCTAGAAGAACAAGCAGGGGTCAGATAGTAACATGGAGTTTGAGTTTTATTCTGAAAGCTCAGTGGAACCAATGAAGATTTTAAGTGAGATGTGATCCTTTTAATCATCTTGACTAGAAAAGGTTGAAGTAAATATAGGAAACTTTAATTTAAATCTTTGCTGTCAGCCAAGTAAAGAGCATCTGGAGTCCAGTGATGGCAATGAAAATGAGATGATCAGAGAGACTAGATGTTGAGGGTAGAAGAGTTTGGGCATGAGTAAGAAGTATGACTTACCAGATTTCTGGTTTTGTTGCCTGATGAACAATAATGCCAGATAATATATCATGTGGAGCAGTTCTGTTCAGGCCATGTGGTTTAAGTGATGAAGGTAAAAAACTTTGTTTTTTTCTTCTATAGCCTGGTGTCTAGTCCATTTTCTAGAACATAGTATATGCTCAATAAATGTTAAATCAGTGAATTTAAAAGGCACAGTCTCTAGGGTTACCTGGTAGGTTGTTGACTATTTAGACCTCAAGTAAAATGGATAGAGTCTTTGAGTTAAATCAACTAAGTAAGTAACTGAATAAATTTTTAAACTGGACTAAACATGCTTGTTAAGCGCAATAGTTCATATATCTGAATGTCTAACATGCTCATCCTTTTTGTTTGTCTAAGTGTTATTGTGTTAATGGGATACTGCTCCTGTCCTTCCAGTACCCCATCAACACAATAACCCTGCATATTTAAGTAAGCTCTAAGAGCAGCACAATATTACAGATTATTACAGTAGTTGATACTTATTGATAACTCTTGAATTGTCAAGGAAAGGTGGTAATGTCTATTCCACGGAGGCAGGGAAACATTTAATCAAGAATCATTATGAGTTTTCATACTTAAAAAAATAGTTATTATTGGTGAATTTCTTTTGTTCACCAGCTCTGATAATGAATGATCACTTTATCTTATTTTTTATTTCCCTTCATTTACCCCTTTCTCTAAGGCAAGATAATGCCTTAAATCTTAATTATTCCCTATGGTAGAGCAGTACAGACTGTATACATAATAAACGATTATTATTGGGTGGGTAGAAAGAAGTAGGAAAAAAAATGAAAAGAGGGTTGAATAACAAGAATTTTTTAAAGGGCTATATTTAAACTGGCTAGTACTCTGTCATCGTGACTGTTTCTCAGTTCTCATATCTCCAGATGACATTATTTCACTTCTCTCAGTCTTTCCTGTTAGGGTTAATTCTTTCTTTTTTTTTTTCTGCTCTTCTACTCTCAAATTATTTGCCTGTAAAGAATGGAATAGGTAGAATTTAAAGAAATAAAGGGAAGCATTTAAGTTGGATAGACTATTGAAAGGGCATAGAAAATTTTAATTAGGGAAATCCAGTCTAAGTTAGAATATGAAGCTTATATTGCAAGTTGTTATAAGTGGTCAGAAGGGAGCCAAGCAGAAGATATCAGAATAGGATTTAAGGACCAGAGTAATCTTATATAATAACTGTTATAATGCTTTATATTTACCTCTGCTTTTCACAATGTTTTGTTTTAAAAGCTATGAATTATGTCTTACAGTATGCACTGAAAAAACCATATGGTGTTCTGTATAAAAAGTAAGTCATAATTTCTTTTACTTTAAATTATATTGTTCCATTATAAAAGTAACAACCATTTTATGCAAGATTTCAAAAAATATTAAAAAAAAATACAACAGTTCCTTACATACAGCTATTTGTATTTTTAAATTTATTTCTTTTTAGTCTGTTTTCATTCATATTTAATATTCTTACATAATTGTAATCGTAGCAAGTTTGTTATTTTAAAATAATTATAGACTTAGAGAAAAGTTGCAAGAAATAATAGAATTCCCATGTATCCTTCACCTAGCTTCTCTAAATGTTATATCTTGCATAACCATACTACATTTGTCAAAACTGAGAAATTAACATTGGTACAATTGGTACAAATTAACTAAATTACATACTTGATTTGGTTTGGACCAGTTTTCCCATTAATGTCCTTTTTCTCTTCCAAGATCCCACATTGCATTTAGTTGTCATGTCTCCATAGTTTCTTCCAGTTTGTGACAGTTCCTCAATCTTTTCTTGTCTTTCACGACCTTGATACTTTTGATGAGTACTTGTCAGTTATTTTGTAAAATATCCTGAATTTTGGATTTGTCTCAGGTTTCTCATGAATAAATTGAAGTTATGCATTTTTGGTAAGAATACTACAAAAGTGATGTGCTTTTCTTAGTAAATTATTGGGAGTACATGATGTCTTATGTTGGTGACATTGACCTTGGTTATAGTGGTGTCTGCTGGGTTTCTCCACTATAAAGTTACTGTTTTTCTCTTTGTAATTAGTAAATGTTTGGAGGAGATACTTTGAGACTACGCAAAGACTGCAAATAATTCTTTTTCTCCCCACCATTATCCCTTTGCTTGCTAAGTTCCAATGACACTTGCCTTTTTTGTTTCTTGAATAGTCTAAACTTTTTTCCATCTCAGAATCTTTGTTTATTCTATTCTTCAATTTTCTGTGGCTAACCCTTCATTTATGAGGTCTCAGCCCAATTATTTTCCACTCTTCACATTGACACTATACCCTATTTTATTTTTGTCACAACAGTTACTACTTTTTGAGGTTGTTTATTTTTTCCACTTTAAGCTCCAAGAAAGTAAGGCTCTTGTTTGACATGGTATAGTATACTATACCATGGTATAGTATTCCTAGCTTCTAGCACAGGGCCTAGCACATAATAGGCACTAAATAAATATTTGAATGAATAAATATCTTTCCAACCTCTTTTATGATCATTTGAATATGAAATTATGTTTAGTTAATATTTTACTTAATTGTTATTGGTGAATTACTACGATTAAGAAAATTAGGCTCACATTTTTTAATATTCTTAGGAAAAATATTACAAGACCATTCGAGGATCAGACATCATTGGTAAGTGTGAAAATCTGTTTTAAGAGAGCGTAGCATGTAAGTGATCATTCAGACTATTTAGTACTCTTAATTTATGCTTTTTAAAAAATTGGAAATCATCCTACGTGAGAGAATTTTGATATAAAATGGAAAGCAAATAAGACTTTTACACTTTCAAGTATTACTATAGGTTTTACATTTCACTATGGCTAGTCTGTATTCACTGCTTGCAAGTCTATTGATAGAATTTTTAAAAATTGAAATTGCATTTTAAGTGCATAATTAATGGATTATCAAAAGGAAGCTTGTTATTGGTCTTTGTATAAAGCAAGTTTGATTTTTAAAAATCTGACTTTTCTTTCTTTGGATGTTTTTAGAACAAAGAACTCTACCTGAATTATTGCTAACAGTTCTCAATTGCTTTACTAAAGTTAATCAAATTCCTGTTTTAGTGTACTGGCAACCAAAACTAAATGAAAAAGCCTAGTGAATGAAATCAGAGGGTAAAAGATGGTATATAGTAAATGGTAAATGATGAATGGATTTTATGTGATAATACTGATTTCTTTCTAAAGAAAATCTTACAGGAGTAAATGGTTTAAATTTTTTTTTTTTTTGGTTTAAACTGTTTAAATTGACTTTATAAAAAGAATTGGAATGTGATTATGTTCTACAGGAATGTCATTACTTGTTTTTCTTCTTTCAGTTAGTGAATTAAAAAAAAAGAACTTTTAAATAGAATCTCAATAATTAATTAGAAGACTAAAATTGAACATCTTATCCTAATGTGGCAACTAACTGCAATAAAAATTATAATATACTAAGAAAAATATTGTCAAAATACCTATTCAGTTTTTTACGAAATTACTTATTGCAGGTTTTTTTTGGTAGTAATTTGGTGACAAGATCATGAAAATAAATATACAGTGTAACCCAGAATTCTCTCTCCTATCCACCATTTATCAAGGGCTGATATTTTGTGACACCATGATGCTTTTAGTTGAGTGACCACTTGGTAGCAATGTTATATTATAGAATCTGTAACATTCTGTACTTTTTTAATCCACTGTTAACCGTGATAGCTTTTCTTACACTTAAAATTGTGACATTTCCTCTCTGATCTTCCATCTCCGGAGATAAGTGGTATTTCATTGGCTATAATAAATCTCAGACCTCTAAACCTCAAAATGGCTCTGAGAACAGTAGTCATGTTGGAAATGTTCAGTATCTCCTCCTGACCTCCCACCCTCCATTTCTTACATTATAATCTTGGAACTATGCTTTAGAGTAAGAGTTGGCAAATATACCTCCTGTGAGCCAAGTCCCAGTTTGTGTAAGGCCCATGGGCTAAGAATAGTTTTTATATTTTTAAAGTTTATTTATTTAATGGTGACATTGGTTAACAAAATCCAATAAGTTTCAGCTGTACACTTTAACAGTGAGGCATATATATATTTACACTGTTCACCTTCCAAAGTAAATTTCTGTTACCACATATTTGCTAAAGTTTTTTTTTAGCATATCAAAAGCCTAAAATATTTACAATTTGGCCTTTTGCAGATATTTGACAACCCTTGCTCTAGAATTTTAACAAGTAAAAAGTGGACCTTATGGAAAAGAACAACAGAGATGAGTACTATATATACATGAAAGGTAGTTTATGGACGTCTTTGGGGTGTTAGTCATAAAATGAGAATGTAAAATAAAAACATTTTAAGAAAGCATTTTCATTTATTTGGACATTTAAAAAACATTTTTGAACACCTACTTTGTGCCAGACACAGTATAAGAATCCACATATGAAAAACCATGTGGCTCTTGCAGATTTTGGCAGGAGGTGTTATTGTCTGTGATTTACACATGATAAAATTAATTCTCAGAAAAGTTGGCCAGATCCCATAGTTCTGCTAGAATTCCTGGACTCTCTGACTTTGCATCCTCCACATGGGGAGTGGATAGGCAGGTAGGTAGTTGTTTGCCCCACTTGCTTTTGCTTAAACACTGGAATGAATGATAACCAAATTAGTGGCCTACATCTCAGGGAGTCTTGTAACCAATTAAGAAAAGTTGAGGATTATGGTTATTTTGTCTCTTCTTTAATGTTTGTCATTAAGAAACTTTTCTAACTAGACTAGAATTAGACCAGAATATGTTAAATCTAATTTTTGTGCTGAGATTGGGAATCTCAGTAAACCGAATCGAAATATGTGGGTTGTAGCAGACATGTGCATCAGTATAAAAGGAGCTGTCTAGGATAACGGTTTCCACGCACTCTCAAATCTGTAATGGAAGTCAACACTCCTTATAACACAGATCTGTAAGTAGGCCCTTGTCAGCTGTACAAAATGGAACTAGTCACAGCTGGGTGGCGTGGAGATTCTAGGGTAAGATTCCTGTGTGGATGAAGTTTGTAATGAAAAATAGGTATATGCTTTGTAAACTCATGAATCTAATTATAAATATCTAAAAATACCATATTGATTAATTCATGTAGAATTAAATAATGTAGGTTCCCTATGTATATTCACATGTGTATTAAATATATGCCAAGATGTACAATTGATGTTAGCAGTAGTGTCCCATGAGTAAAGGCATTTGTTTAGCAAATGAAAAATACTTGGTGTACTATTCCAGAATAACTGCATAGCTGAAAATAAATGGTCTCATTTTACTTATTAACTTAATAGTTTTAACATAATTTTAGTCTTGAACTTATACCTTTTCCCTATGAACCCCAAATCAGAAAATTTGAAGTAAAAAGGTAGGGAAAAAACCTCTTCCTCAGTTTATTCCTATATAACATACTAACTCTTCATTAACTTCCACTGAAAAAAACATTTTTTAAAAAAAAAATTCAGATGTACAGTTCTTAAGTTTCCTATATTTATTCATTGCACGAATGGGATTTCTTTGGTTTTATAGGAATTCTTTTCAAAGAAATCAGATTGTTCTTTATTCATGTTTGGCTCCCATAATAAGAAGCGGCCAAATAATCTAGTAATAGGTAAGTATTATTTTTAATATTTCTACTTCTGTTACTGAGATTAATTGATGGTGTTGAGGATTTAGGAGTAACTAGTAATCTCTGAACTAGTATTTTTATTTTCCTTGTGAGTTTGAATAAACTTTTTTTTACCTGTCAGTCTTCAGGGAAAGAATGGGCATGTAAATATTACCTCAAGTAGTAGATATTTTTCTAATATTAAACATATATATCTCAAATCAGTGTTAGAGTTAGAAAATGAAGTAACATTCTTACCTGTATAAATTAACCCTTTCCTAATAAATATCTATTTAATGAATACATTTGAAAAAGAACTCTTGCCTGGGTGTATTGAGACTTGGTCTGGCATGCTCACTGGCTTGAATTAAGCAAGCCCTTTACCCTCTCTGGGCCTTTATTTACTTTTTGATAAAATAAGGGAGTTTGGCTAAGTGACCTTTAAGATCCTTATGAGGGTCAGGATTGCAACAATATATTCTAGGTAGAGTTGAAAATTTAAGAAAGAGGAGACATGTTTGAGGGATATATGGAGAAAGAAACAAGGCAGATATTAGGACATTTTGAACATACAGATAAGTGGGTTTTTATATAAGGGGGCTGTTTGGGAAAAATAAATGCTTAAAAAATGTATTTTTCTTCTAGGTCGTTTGTATGACTACCATGTGCTAGATATGATTGAATTAGGTATCGAGAAGTTCGTTTCTCTGAAAGATATTAAGGTAAGATACTTACTGATCATAAAAATAAGCATTTTACACTGTTGCTCTTGGGCTATAGTGACATCTTGTGGTGAAGAGTGCTGATACAGGTTTTAGCTTAAAGAAGAAAACTTTATTCTAGTGTGCTCTAAGATAAAAGCACAGTTTCATTTTAACTTTAGAAAGAAGAATATATTTATATACTATAACACATACAGATATTCTGGCAGTTAGACTTCAGAGTGGTTACAAATTTTTGTCTGGGTCCATGATTTAAGTGCTATTTTCTCCCTCAGTTATCATGGCATCAATTTTATAGAACCTCAGAGATACCAGAATTTCAAAGTGAGCCTTGTTCTAAACCTGGAAGCTTCAGCCAATTCTGTAGTATTTTGGCTGCTAGTCACTAAATTGTTAGCTCAATCCTTCCTTTGAAGACTTGACATCTGTGTGTATCCTTTGTTTAAACAGGATTGTGAAGTAGAAAGTGGTAAATCGTCTTAGAAAAGCAAGAAAATTGTCCTAATTCAGCTCCTGGGTCCAAATTGGGCTCCTGCTCCCTCAGAACTCTGCTTCCCACTTAATTTATTCTATCAAATACATATTTCACTTAGACCTCATAGCTACTATAAGAAAAGCTGAAATTTTTTTTCTTATATAGATTTAGAGATTGAAGCCCGGAGAAATTCCATTGGTTACTGAGTCATATACATAGGAAATGGTATAACCAGTTAGACTCAAGGACTTTGAAAGAATATTGAAGTTTTTAATGGAAAGTTATATAATTACTCTCAGTTTATGGGTCTTCGAGGGTCATGGTATAGTTGAAAGAATTATAGCAAATATATAATCACCCTTTTTCTCAGCCTCCTCTAAAAAAGAACATAACTTCCAGATTTCCTGTGGGTTTGAAAAAAGGCTCTTACCATATCACCACTTAGCTATACTAGCTTCCTCAGGTACAGGGTAGAATCGTAGCCTGATGTAGAGGGCAGAACACTTGAGTTTGAGGCCTCTCTTGGCCATTTAAATGACATTTGTGACATGATAAGTCAGTTACTTCCCTGACCCTCAATTTCAATCAAATGTTAAATAGGTATAACAACATCAAATGAGATAATATGTGTGAAAATTCTGATCAATCAGAATAAAATATTGAAAGGTGTTTTGTAAAGTTATAAACCCATATATGGTGGAAGCCATCATTTTATTACAATTTCTCTTTGGGGCTCTGCACAAATCCTGGAGATGAGCGGTAGATCCCCATTTCACCTTTACCATTGCTGCTAGCTTGGTCACCAGTTAGTGGGCCTGAGCATGATGCATGTATTCCAACCTCTGTACTCTTTCTGCTTCACTTCCAAAGCAAAGAAATAACTTCAGTCACTGTGCAGCTTGTAAACTAGACCACAAAACCGTTAGTGTTTGTCAGGTCTTATTCTTTTTTTTTTTTTAAACACCTACAGCACCTGGTATTCCCTAGGTGGTCTCCCATCCAAGTACTAAACAGGCCTGACCCTGCTTAGCTTCTAAGATCAGATGAGATTGGGCGTGTTCAGGGTAGCATGGTAGTAGACGAGGTCTCATTCCTAACAAGAACCATTTAAACTGAATACTAAACTTTCACTCATGGAGTATATCCATAACTATAAAATTCATTAGTTTGTGAAAATATGCTTACATAGATAATCCTTGCATAGACTGTTAGTCAGCCCTTAACTTTTTACCTTATTATATGGTTACAGGCTTGTATTTTTAGTTTGTTTTGGAGTTACATGTTTTGTTACACTTTTTCTTCATATTTATTTCCTCTTTACTCTGCCTCTTCATTTTTAAGACATCTTCAGCAGTTATTTCTTGTCTTACTTCCCTGCTTTTATTGCCAAGCTCATCCTTCTGTTAAGTAATATTAGATTATACTCTACTAGGAAACTGATTATTCTGAGAGCCTGTTTTCTAAGATGGCCAAACTTCTAGGGATGGTTTTTCTGCATAAAAATTTAAGACTTGTTGATTTTATTTTAGATAGTATGAAATATATTGCAACTGTCTGGATATTTTATTTGGAAAGTTCATGTATAATTTATAATAATTATTACTTTTAATTAAAAAAGTTCAAGGACTACATAATTATAGTATTTTCAGTATACTATATCATTTTACATTTTTAGTAACTTTCAGACTATCGGAATAAAGCTCATCTGTTCTAGTTTCAGGGTTTTCACATTGTGAAAAATATCAGTGATCTACGTATTAAGTACTATTTCACATAACTAGTTTAGTTGTATTTCTATGATGTGTATACTGGATTATGACTTAAAGTGATATTTTTTATTGCTATACATGTGGTCAGGATGGTTTGAAAGTTCGTGTTTGCCTCACTTTCTCTTACCTACTTGTATGTACTTAAATAACCCCATAGGCTCAGGGGTAGCAATAGGAGGGTCACGTGGGACGTATGTTGCACATTGGGTCTGGAAAGTCCGTTTAGGCCCTTGATCAGACAACAGATCTTAGACACATATCCTAAGTATAGAAAGTTAAGGTTCAGAGTTTGGAAGCAGAATGTTAAGAGAGTGGTCATGATGAAGGGCAAAGGATGTTTGTATTGTTTTTTTCTTCCTTCTTTCCTCCCTCACTTTCTTCTTTCTCTCTTGTGTTTTTTTTTTTTTTTTTTTGCTAGATTTGGATAATCCTTGATTGGTGTCAGAGCAGAGGTACTAGAATCAATGGGACGCTTAGACCAACAACTATTCACCTTCTTCCATAAATTAATCCTTCAGTTAAAGATTTTTTTCTATTTGATTTTCTTTCATTTTGATGGCTTTTCAATTTAAATCCTCTTATTACATCACATTCTTCTTGGTATAGAAAATCTAGAACTGGACAAAATCTTTTTTGTATTTAGTAATAGCTTCAACTCTGCTGAGTGAGGATTAGCACATACTTTCTATAGCTTGTATAAAATTATTTTGCTTTTCATGTGAATATTTAGTTGGTACTTTAATTTAGCTTTCATATAAAACTAGTTTATGTGATATAGTAGGAAAGGCACTGGTACAAATAATTCAAAAATTTATTTCAACTCTAGAATGTTCACTATTAAAGGTCAGTGTTTTGTAGCAAGTTTAGCATTTTATTTTATTCTTTGCATAGAATAATGTTAAAAAGTAGCTTAAGTCATTCGTTGACCACTTATTAATTTGGCAGTATGACAGAGTGGAAGAGATAATTATATAATTACAATTTTTTTTTTCATTTCATAGAATAGTAAATGTCCTGAGGGAACAAAACCCATGTTAATATTTGCTGGTGATGATTTTGATGTAACAGAAGACTACAGAAGGCTAAAAAGTCTTCTTATTGGTAAGTTTTGTAATACTTTAGGGTAGCTTAGGTAGGCAATCTAATACTGTCTGTAGTGGCATTTTGCCATTTCACTCTAGTTATACAGCTTTTACTTTTTGATTTCTTTTTTCCTTTTCATTATTTTCTTTATTCCCCACTAGCAGGGGAAGTTAAAAGAATGTTGTCTGTAGATCATTATTATTCTTTGATGCTATAGTAACTTTGGTATAAACCTATTTACATAGCATTTTATACTTTATAAAATGCTTATTCCCATCTGTCATTATTGACATCATTAAGTTAAATTTAGAAAATTGAAAAGTTACAATTTTAAGATTGTTACACATCATTCACTTTCAATTCAGAAACCTTTACTTATTTTTCTTAGTCTGATATATAAGATTTTTCACACTATAACTTGCTTTCTTGATCTCCAGTTTCCTTCCTCCCTTTTCCATTAAAAGTGACTTTTTAAAATATATTTTGCATATTCCTATTGTCATTTCTGATTTCATTCTTATTTATCTGGTTTCTTCCATTCTTGCAAATTTTGTTTCTTTCCCTGAGAACCCTCAGTGACCTCCCCAGCTCCTTTTATTTTGTTACTGTTATCTTAACTGGCAAGCATGTACTAGGTACTTTAAATATATTGCTTCATTCTCACAATAACCTTGTAAAGTTGTTTTACAGATGACTTATTCTTAGTGAACTACACTAGTTCCTAATGATTTATGTAATGACTATACCCTTTCCTATGTGTTCACAAGTCATCTTAAAATCCAATATATAATTGTTGTTATTGTCTGGAATTGACATAAATTTTACCAATTTTATACCCCCTTTTCTCCCCTTTTTTTTGAAAAGCTGGTGTTCTCCATGATTTCTTAAATGTTAGTAATATTTAATATTCTGTAATCACATCTGCCAGCTTTTTACTGAAAAGAAGTTTAGTTTGTCCCTGGAGATACAAATACTTCTGATACTTAGCAGCATTATCTCAAGTTTAAATAATTAATTCCATTTAAAGTTTTCTTGTACCATTCTTACAAGCTAGACCCTTGGTTGCCCTTGTGGACTTTTATACACTTTGCCCTAGATCACTCTTGAAAAAGTTTGTGGTGTATATTTTATAAATAGATTAAATTGTATACATGCTCTTTAGAAATCCGAGTCGACCAAAAAAAGTTTGTGGATCGATACATTTTTTCTTTATTGGGATTATAGTGTTATTGTTGGGATTCTAATTTTCAGAACTTCTCATTTCTTATTAATAATGGCTATTTTTTTTTCTGGGGATCTTTTTTTTTTTTAAATTAGTTTCAAGTATACGGTACATTGGTTAGACATTTGTATAGTTTATGAAACAATCCCCCTGAATAATGGCTATATTAAAAAAAAAAAAAACTGAATAGCCACTATAATCTGTTTAATCCTTTCTACAGCTCTTGAGTTTCGTGAGCCACAGTCATTAGAAAAGCCTGAGCTTTTTTGCTTCTCCTGTTTATCTTGCCTGTGGTGAAGTTCCTTTGCAGAGTCTTTGTTATAGGTTCTTACCTATATTTTTCACAAATTAAAAATAAATCGTACATGAAAGACAATGACCAACATTTCTTTTAATGTTATACACTCCAAAATATCAAGTGTTTTTTCAGCTAAGATTCCTATTGCTTGAATTCCATCAGCCCAGATTCCTGCCTTTTGTCCCCTAGTTCTTTCAATTAATTATTAATTGTCCATGAGGGTAGTACTTCTGTTATAGCAGAGAGGGCTTTTGTTTGCTTTTGTTTAAGTGGTTTTTATAAAAACTTTATCTTATTATTTTATGCTTCCACTAGATGGCAGTTCTGAGCACATAATGCAGTGATGATGGGGAGGGAGTGAAAACCATAAAGGAACCTGGGGAAAGAAGAATGAAAGATAAGAGGAATGAAGTGAGATTGTTGGGCACCAAGGAAAGTTGAGTTTTTAATATAAATATGAAGTAAGGCAGTGGCAAACTTCTTGGTTTATGTTTTATGTTCTAATGAAATAATGAAATAGAACAGTAGAGAAAGAATTTTTATCAAGGGCTTTCTTCTTTCTAGGAAGTTTGTTTGTTTTTTTTTTTTGTAATTGGCCAGAAAGAAAAGTTAACTTATTAAGTCAGTATTTTCATGGCAGGTACCCATTTCGTTTATTCTGAATTTTGCTTCTCTTTTGCTTTCTTAAATATATAGATTTGTAGTTAATCTTAGCAGGTCCTCTTTTTTTTAAATAGAAAACCAGTAAATATTTATTTTTAGAGTCAGTTCACTCTAATTTTTATGGTTACTTTTTTATGTGACTATTCCTTGTATATAGAGATGATAGTAAATCAAGTAATAGGTCAGTTTTACTAAATGTTCCTTTAAAGCCTACCTTAAATTTAACTACCTAATTGGGTTGCTTTTTCTTCATTGCCTTATTATCAGTGGTCATGTCTACATCAGTGGTCATTGTTTTAATTTTTTTAACCTTTCCGATTTCCTAATTCTTATTCTACTCAAAAAATATATAATAATGAAAATAACTCATAGATTAGATAATTAGATCAGGTAATTTATTTAATTTAATCCCTTTATAGCTCTACAAAAGTTGTATTAAGTCTGCTCAGGTTTCCATAACAAAATACCATAGACTGGGAGGTTTAAACAACAGATTTACTTTCTCACAGTTCTGGTGGCTAGAAGTTCAAGATCAAAGTTTCTGGTGTGGACTCTCTTGCTTGCTTCTTGCTATGTGCTCACATAGCTTTTCCTATGTGTGGGCGGGGGAAAGAGAGAGACATGAAAGAAGTATTCTGTTAGTTTTCTTATAAGGACACAAATTTAATGGGATCAAGGCCCCACCCTTATGGCATACCTCATTTAACCTTAATTACTTCCTTAGAGGCCCCATATTCCAAATATAGCCACACTAGGGGTAAGGGCTTTAACCTATGAATTTTGGAGGTACACAGACATTCATTTCATTATGGTAATAATATTCTCATGTTGTAGATGAAGAAATTCAGACCAGTTATTTGTGCAGAGTGAAGAGCTAGTAAGTGGTAGAATCAGGATCTGATCTAGTCCCTGACTCTAGCTCCCCTCATCTTTCCCATCAGCTCCATGGTCAAACTCTTGTGCTCTTTCCCAATGTATTTACTCATGGACACAGCCACATTTAAAATCTTATTTTTGCATAGAATTGGTCCATGGGAAAAAATGTCCAAAATGAGGCTTTCCTTCTGATTATAACCAATTTATCTTCTACCTCTTCTATCTCCTTAGTTCTATTAACCAGGTTTTTATACTTATTTCCATACTTATATCTCCTATTTTATCTCAACATCATTTCTTCCCATTTTAGAGTCAGCCTCTTCCTCAGTGTTCTGAGGTTAAAAGATACACTTTAAACTGTCAACCCTTTGATTTTCAGGCTCCTTTTATACTTTTATTTTTTTCGAGCTTGTATTTTTTTTAAATGCCAGTTTATTATTTTTTTCATACTATATATACATAATTTTTTTAACATTTTATTTTTTTCATTTTTCCCCTTCCCCTCTGTTAACCACTAACTAGTCCATTGTCCATGTCCATGAGTCTACTTTTTACACATTTATTGTCCCAATCCTGGAATCAGCTATTTCTCTGAGGAGTCCTAGTTTCGTTTTAAGTGAGAAATTATTTTAGAAATCACAGTCTGGGTGCTGTAGATTGTTTCTAGATTGGTCATTGTTTCTAGGCTTTTTTAATGGACAGATCTGTGAAATAAGTTTGTTAAGATAAAATATATTCTGAGTTCATATGAAACTTCTAACTCAAATTTAAGACAAAAGGATCTTAATTTTACTGTCACATAGGTACCTTCTTTCATCCATGATAAAAATCTAGATTTTCAATGACTTCACATAATTATGCATTTACCTTATATTATAACTACACACACAACAGTCTCAGAATAAAATACCAATATTACCACTGATGGTACGAATATTGAGTGCAATTGAAGGGTTTTTTTGTTTTGGGTTTTTTTTTTTTCAGTTCTGTTTTATGTTTTTTTATACAGTCTATTTGTATAAGATACAACCTTGTGGGAAGATATGGTCAAATTACTGTGTTTTGAAATCACTTGAAGTAGTTCTTTCCTGTATGATTATTCCTGCAACTCGGTATATAGGTTCATTTTGTTTATATTTTTATGGATTACTTGTTTTTTCATTTTAAATTGCTTTAAAAATAACTTTTGAGGTATAATTTAATTAAAATCAAGTACAGATATTTAGAGTTAAAATTTGATGGCTTTTGACAAATGTATACACCTGTGAAAACACTGCATTCAAGACAGAACTTTTCCATCACCTCCCAAAATTTCCCTGTGCCCTTTTGTAAACCATTCTTTTTCTCTATTCTAAGCATACATTGAGGTACTTTCTGTCATTATAGATTAGTTTGCATTTTCTAGAATTTTAGATAACTGGAATCATACAGTGTATACTTTTCTTGGCTTGGCTTCTTTCACCCAGTATGTTCTGAGCTTCTCCATTTCCTTGTGTGTATCAGTCCTCATTTCTTTTTATTGCCGAGCCATATTCCATTTATAGCTATTCCACATTTTGTTTATTCCTTCGTCCATTGATGGACATTAGCTTGATTCCAGCTTTTGACTGTTACCAATAGTGCTGCTATAAACACAACAATATATACAAATTTTTGTGAGGGCATGTTTTCATTTCCATTGAGTAAAATATCTGGGAGTGGAATGATAGAGTCATTTGGCTAGTATATGTTTAACATTTTAAGAAACTACCAAACTGCCCTCCACTATGGTGGTCTCATTTTACATTCCCACCAACAGTGCATGAGAGCTCCAGTTATTCCACCTTGTCAATACTTGGTAGACCATTCTTTTTAATTTTAGTTAATCTAATGGGTGTTGTATACTGACTTCGGTCCAGTATTCAAAGTCAGCATAAAATAAAGTAGTGAAATCATTGCAGTTTTAGTTTGCATTTTCTGATGACTAATAATGTTAAACATCTTTTCATATGCTTATTGGCCATTCATAAATATTTGGTGATACTCTGATTTCTCTTCAAATCATATATCTTTGGTGAAGTGTCTATTAGAATCTTAGCCTGATTTTTATATTGGTTTATTTGTCTTTTTAATATTGAGTAATAGGTAAGGGCATGAGTGCGTGAGATAAATCCTTTGTCTCTTTGTCTGATAAACAGTCTTTGAATATTTTCTCCCAGTCTGTGCCTTCCTTTTTTTTTTTAATTTTTATTTTTTAGAGTTGACATTCAGTATTATTTTATATTAGTTTCAGGTGTACAACATAGTGGTTAGACATTTATTTAATTTACATTTGCCTCTTTGTTTTAATGATATTTTTCAAAGAGCAGAAATATTTAATTTTTGTGAAGTCTCATCTATTTTTTTCTCTCATGGTATGTTCTTCCTGTGTTTTGTTTAAGAAACCTTTGCTTATCCCAAGATTGCAAAGATTCTTCTCTTATATTTTTTCTTGAAGTCTTAATAGTTTTAGGTTCTACATTTAGATTTATGATTCATTTTGAGTTAATTTTTATAGGTAGCATATAAGGGTCAACATTCTTACCTTTGTTTCTTTTTTTTTTCCCTTTTCATTCTTGAAAACTTATGGAAAAAGCATATACGCCTGTAAGGTTTGCATCGCAAAAGCTATTTTGGGAGAGGCTGGAATGTACATGTCTTGTTCCCAGAATGACTTAACAGATTAAAACTTTATGCCTTGGTTTGCATTTTTTAAAAGGTTAATATCCATGGTATATTTGATGCTGAGCATTGGCCTAAAGGGAGAATTTCAAAACTGAAAAATTAAAATGACTCAGTGAACTATAAATACAGAAATAAAGAAATAAAGTCACGAGATTAGTAAAGGGGTGGGATGGAACAGTCTCAGACCTTTTTCAGGGATTAGTTTTTGCTACCTATCCTATCCTTTTACATGAGTATTGATACTAAATGGCGCTTTTAGAATGTAGTTCTTTGTAACTGAATTTTAAAATCATGTTAGTCTTTTTTTTAAAATAACAATATAATATGTACTTTTAGATTTCTTCAGGGGCCCCACAGTATCAAATATCCGCCTGGCTGGTTTAGAGTGTGTTCTGCATTTCACTGCACTGAATGGGAAGATTTACTTTCGAAGCTATAAGTAAGTGCATTTCTTAGCATGTTTTTGTTAATCTCTATGGTTAGCATTTTAGTGTGACTGTTTTATAGAGTTCAAACTTAGTATTGGTGTCTGGCCAAAAGTTTATTTGGAATGTTTGCAGAATGGCGATAGCACAGCCAGCTAGCTCCGTGCTGATCTTCGTGTGCCATTCCCCTGCTAACTTCTGCATCTGAAACCCAACTTTTCCAAGGTCCTGGAGCATCTAATGTGGCACACCCTCTGAGTTTAGAACATTAATTTAGTCATGACTCTCCCTACTTTTATGCAATATCTCTTTATTTTTCTTGACTGGATTTAGAGCACCAAGCCACAAGACTTAGGCCAGCCAAAGCAAATTTCAGAACTTTGAGTCTAAAAAATGGAGTCTGAAAGGAATAAGATTCAGTGGTTAGATTCATTTTACCCACCTTTTTTAGCCTAAGCCTTCTTCTACCCCTACCCCCACCACAATATAAATCCTAACAAGCTGGTTTTGTTTTTATTAAAAAGCTCAATGACATGCTACAATCGTGCCTTTTGAGGTAAGCATGACTTATTTTCTTAAAGTGTTGGCGCTGGTTGATAGAGCCCACACTTTCCTAGAGAATACATTGACTTGGAGAGATTGTCTTCCTTTGATCATTGAATTTAGACTGATGTTTACTTTGATCTGTGGCATGGCAGTGCAGCCTGAGAGCCGACAGCTCAGTGTTGAAAGAGAAAATAAACTGGACAGAAAATTAGCAAATCAGAATTAACAAAGAAAAATTAGCAATGTAATTATACACATTCACTCATCCATTCACTTATTTATTTTTTATTTTTTTATTTTTTAAAATTAAATTTATTGGGGTGATATTGGTTAATACAATTATATAATTTTCAGGTGTACATTATAATTTGACATCTATATATTCTATTGTGTTTACCACCCAAAATCCTGTTTCCTTCAGCTACCATATATTTGATCCCCTTTACCCACTTCACTCTCTTTCTGTCCCCTATATTTGACCCCCTTTACTCTGTCTACCTCTCCCCCTCCTCCCCCATCCCCTACCCTCTGGGAGTCCATGTCCATGAGTCTCTGTTTGTCTTGTTCATTTGTTGCTTTTAGGGTTATATCCCACATATGTGATATCATGTGATTTTCAACATTTTCTGCATAACCAATTTTTTTACTTGATTATTACTGTAAAGTA